GCTGGAGTTAATATTTGATATGCCGATTTTCGCTAATTTTAGACACATTCCAAAATATGCTCCCCATTTTTAGTGTCAAGTTTCTTCGAAACTTGACAAGTATTGTGATGAGTGGGGGAAAATTCATATGAGTCAGGGATCAGGCATAATAGTGTAAACTTTCCGGGGGGTGTATACGATATATGTTCGTAGTGATTTATTGTACTTAGTCAGTGCTTTGAAGGTTATTTAGGCAATTTCAGTTGTCTTATTTAAATATTCTTTTGTCCTTTTGCCAAGTTCACAAAAATTTTGAGGAGTGGTTGTCGTTATTGTAATTTTTTGTAAATTTTATAACATTCGCTTCTCATGTTGTGTAAAAGATCTTTACCCCGGAACACTCGATTTTTCTTTAGCAGCGCAAATGCGCATGCGCTATCAAACCGTAGATGACCTACGATGACGTGACGATGCTAGGAAGGAGCGACACAGTGTTGTTTTCAAATGTATACACATTTCAGATGTGAATATTGAGTAAATCTTTGAGAGTCTACGCAATATATAAATTGATGTTATTCATTACGGGCATTCAGTCAAGTACCGATATTACTTAGACGGTATATTCATTATACAGAGCTAAGAATTAAGGAGCTAGATAGTGCTTTTTTCCAAATGTATATAAAACATTTCAGACCTAATTATAAATATTGAGAAAATCTTCGAAGTGCCGATATTATTTTGACGGTATATTCATTATACAGAGCTAGGAAGGAGCGAGACAGCGTTGTTTTCAAATACATAAACATTTCAGACCGATGAATATTGATAAAATCTTTGAGATGCTACGTAATATATAAATTGATGTTGTGCATTTATACCGGCATTCAATTACTAATTATAAATATTGAGAAAATCTTCGATGTGCCGATATTATTTTGACGGTATATTCATTATACAGTTAGCTAGGAAGGAGCGAGACAGCGTTGTTTTCAAATACATAAACATTTCAGACCGATGAATATTGATAAAATCTTTGAGATGCATATAAATTGATGTTGTGCATTTATACCGGCATCGAATGTAAAGGTGTAACACTGCTACACCACAGAATAGGTCACTCAGTACGAAGAGCAAAACATTGCATCAGATCAGTAGAGCATAAATAACTATCAAACAGAAGTAGTGTTTGTATATCATTGTATGGCGTTTGCTATCCAACGTGTAGTCACGGGCCTTGTTCACATGTCTGGCACAACGGTGCAAACTGGTGTTCAATGGCACAATGCAATATTCAAATGCAACGAGAACATCACCAGATCTTACGAGAATCTATCTGTATCAAAGCTTTATCAAAACTGCTATAAACTCTGCTGTAACTGTGAAATTATTGACATCTAAAGTGACATTATTGAATACTTGCGAAAAGCTGAAAATGACTCATATAAAAAAAACAACCTGATCTTGGCCTTGGGAATATAAAGTCAAAGGTCATTGAGACTTGTTATTGAGAAACATGTCACAATTAAGTTAAAATGCGGAAGCGGATGCGGAACCTAGCGGATCCATGGAGCGGGTGCGGAACGGATATGGGGATAAAATGCGTCATTTAAATGAATTTTTTCGCCTCATTTTTATGTGTCTGTGTTTTGGATTTATGTTTTTTGTAATGGGATGCAACGTCATATTAACTACAGTGTGTCCCCAAAAAAGTACCCTTATAACAATAGGATAGATACTTTCTATAGAGGGTACTTTTTTGGGACACACTGTAGTTATACAGCTATTTCAATTGTGTCACTGAGACAATAGTTAAATGTGCAATATGGGCGCTGATAGTTTTAAATAAGTTTAGTATATCAGTAGCCTCATGGGGATACTTTCAGCGACAGCTCCCAATGCAATTGTAGTTTTAGAATATACAAAATTTGGTTGCTGGTGAAAGAATTTAAATTTCGAGTTGTCTCGTGTAGCATCACAATAAATAAATAAATTGTACCAGTTCCACGAGGCACGGCGAAGGAAGTGACAATGAATTGTTTCTCTCGTAAAAACCTTGTTCTAATCCACATTTTTGAGTAACGTGCAGGGTTGGTATGTTAGATGAAGAATTAGGCCAAATCGTATTAGTGCCGTTATTGAAAACAAATAAAACAAAAAAAACAAAACACGCTAAGACAAAAAACAAAGGCCTAATGTGACGTTGTTTGGCCTAATTGTTGAGCAAACCTATTAACCCGCTAGACCCTACGCAGTTCTTCCCGATCTTATTCAATTTGAAACTTTACACTATCCTTGGATCCCTAGTTAACATTAATATATCCGTGAATTTTTAAGTTAAATACAACTGTAATATATCAAAATCTAAGTTAGTCCTTCCTCTATTTAATGCAAGTTATTTCTCTTTAAAAACTTTACTTGTTTAGAAGTTATTACGAATCAAACAGGAGTACTTTTTTTTGGGCCACCCGGTAGCTTATTCGCCTTCAACCAATTACTAATATTTGCCAATTCAGTATTTGCAACGACTTCGAGTGTCTTTAAATTTTATCTGCATATAAAAGATTTGTATCATCAGCAATGGCTGACACTTTGCAAAATATGGGGCACGGTTGCCTTCCCTGGCAGCCATCCCCTAGTGCCTGCCACTGTATTTGACTAAAAATGTCTATAATTTTGTAATAAAACTGTGCCTGGATAAAAAACGGGTAACCTAGCTTTGTTGGATTTCTAAGGAGAACTGATATAGAGCTATCCAATATAAACATGCTAACATTGTAAACTCGTAGAAAAGTGTTAATACTCGTAGAGGTGGCTGTGTTAAAGAAAGGCATGGAATCCCCTCGTGACGGGGATCCGGTAAAATTCTATGAAAATACTGGTGGTATATAGACACGGTAGTTCAACCATTCATAGCAATAGTCCAAGCGTCTAACAGAGTTCTGGTTAGTTTTTCTCAAGTGGTTTGACTTCTAGACTTAGGTTGCGGCATTTCAACATTTCTCTGTAAAATTGTAACTCTTGAAAAATCAACATCTTAGTAGAAACGAAAGGTATGCTGTTCCCAACAAATTATACCATACCACACTAACCTGGTATATGTTTCCCCGAAAAATCTATGTTCACTTATGTACATGGCTACACAAATTCTATCTATGCACCCAACAGAAGTTCTAGGCATTCTAAAAAATCAACACCTTCATTCTCCGTGAAATACATCTATGGATAATCTTTACCAAGGCAAAAATATTTCGTTCTAACTTCACTCCTCCCCTCTCCTTTTTTGAAACATCTATGCTTGATGACATTTTTACAGCCCCTGCATGCTATACTTTACTGTACATTCCCTGCAATAAACTGAATATCCAGCCAGAAACTCCTCACACAAACCTTCGCAATCTTCGCCCCATGGAAGAATTCCCCTAGAAAAATCCACATACACTTGAAAGTTTACTGCCTCTAAGACAATTATATGCCTTGTACTTAGCATCTACCCCGCACTATGCTCGTATACTTATGCTTGAGAAATTTACTTTCCTTCTGTGATATCTGATGTATACGTACTATAGGTGGTGCAGTGCAAAACAGATCTGGAAGTAAGAGAAGTAAGAAATATTCGAGAACTAAAAAAACGTTTGTTGATATTAGTGTTAAATAATTAAATGCATGTGTACAGGTATTTCATATCTATAACTGGGGATTGATTCCTGCAATAGGCAGTTTTCTGATAATAATTGCACTTGAATTACATGGGAAGAGTGCTGTTAATCTGATTCCGCAGCTTTACAACATGCAGGAACAGTCGGTTTTATCTGTAGTATCACTGGATAAATGCATTGAAGTTAAAATTGTCTTTTTTTTGTTTAGGGATTGAAAACGTGCAATCCTTTAATGAATCCAAATTTGTCAGGTAAAACTTTAAACTTTCATTATCAATATTTTATATTTGTGAAATATATTTATCTTATGTAAATTGTGCTTTTATATTTCAATTATAGTCAGTCTCCTGTATCGCAAAGTCAAAGTGGACGTGTTATTTTTCCTATTAGCCACCTTAATCTTAACCGTACTAGGTCAGTGGCAAAAAGGAGAGCGCAATCTACGCATAAAAATGTATTAAAAACAATTCTTTTAATCTGGATGTAGTATTAATTCTATTTGTTTGAATGTCTCAAAGTTTTTGATTCATTGATTGTTTTACCCTTGGCTAGCCATGTTCCGTTTCCTCCTTTTTATTTAATTTAGCTACAGTATGTTTGCTATAGATTTCCGTTCAGTTAATTTCCTAACGTCAAGCAATTCCTCTGATCAACACTTCGAGATTTTGAGGAAGTTCCTTAAAGTGCCCCTGTCACAAAATGAGAGTTTACATTATTAGAATCGTCTTGAAACGTAGATTATGAAAATACAAAACAGATTTAAAATTGAGCTTGTTTTCACAGAGTAATAAGGCAATGAATTTTGAAAATTTCAAATTTTAACGGCAAAAGTTTTTGAAAACCGCGAAGCTGGGAAATTGGTAACTAATACGTCATAGTAGGAAGACGTTGCCTACTCGCCTAAGCCAAAAGTGAAAATTATATAAATACTAAGTGAGAATCACAATCAAGCTGGTCAAAATTCGATACAAATGTCTTCGTCGAGTTCAGATACGGAAAATAACAGTTACCAAAGCGATGACTGAATGAAATTATATTCCTGAGCCGTATCAAATCGAAAATTGATGAAAACACCAGTGAAGCGTAGTCAAGCAGCGCCGATCATTCATGTGCACGACGTTGGTCCATATGTTAATGAAGCAGTGCCCGACGAAGATTGGCTCAAAAGTTACCGCGAAAAAAGCAATCACGACGAACGTCTTAAGCAACTACAACAAAGGCTTGATAGTTCAGAAGAATTGAGTAAATGGTAAATATTTTGTTGCGTGACTTGACCTTGCGTTTCGTGACTTGCCAGTGTTTCTACATACACAGTATTCAAATTACAAAATATAATATTTCAGGTGCATGGTAAACGTGGCAATTGTCGCATTGAACTGCTTCGTAAATTATGCTAAAGAGTGTCAATGTTGTATGGAAATTGAGGAGTGCGTCGATTCTCTACACAGTAACATTGTGATTTGTGATGCAAGATGAAGTCGCGCCATCATGTATAATTCAACAGCTTATGACTAGATAAGTGAGCCCTCCGTTTAGCAGCCACGAAATTACGAACAAGAAAGAAGCAGGAATACCGTCAAACAAGCACATAAGATGGGTATTAAAAAATAAAGTTTTATTTATCAACATATTGAAATTATGAAACACTTTACCGTACCCGAGTTTACTATCAGTGAACACACGCATGCGGTACAGTAACTGAGAGTTTATATACGGTACATGCTGTACAATTATTGTATTATTATATATTTACATGTGCCCACATGCAAGTAAGCGACTTATTAAAAAGACTTATTTATTAATTTATAGATTCTGAAGGAGCACAGCATATAGAAGCTTTGTGTGGATGGTTTATGGACAACTAGGAAATAGACATTTTTGCGCATATGAGAAAATAATGCCTGCATGCTATTGATGAAGACTTTGTAGGATTTGTAGAGGACAGCTCTTGATATATTATATAATTATTTTTCAATAAATAAACCTATTACACTGTATAAGCGTAGTAATATTATAGTAATATACTGTATTGCGTATAGAAACAGCACATTTGCTATATTCATGACTTCAATATTATTTTGCCAAATGTTTTCCTGCGCTTCGTGCGCGCGGGTTAATTTGTGCAAAGTGTTGCAGCGCGTTCAAGTATTTTTCTGACTTGTCCTAGCAAATGTGGCAATGACTAAGTTATTTCATTAAGTTGCTTCAATCGATTATACTGTGCAATACATTTTATACACATCCCCACAGTGTATCAGGTTTCATGCCACAATTTGTTACAAAATCTGCATATTGTACGGGGTTTTCCCAGCGGTCAAACACAACGATTTTTACTTATACAATTCTACTTTACCTGTCTAATCTAAAATACAAACAGTACACATTGCTTGTAGACGTACGAAATTGGCTTTCATCCACTATATTTTGACCATATTCACTCGTATATTGTCGCGATATTTTATATTTCTGGTGAATCCATTGACTGTGGTTCATTTACATTTATCGCGCTTTCGAGTTTCGTGACTATGGCCATATCGGTTGACTGCATTGAAACAGCTTCTTTTACAATTTGCAGCTTCTTTTTACAATAACGAACTTGGAATAAAAATTGCACCTTGGATCTCATATTGCTCGTTTAAGGTGCACGAAGTCAACCCGTCTCCTTTCGCTTCGTGCATCTCGTCTCCAGTAAAACTAAAAAGGTATAAAATGAAGTGAAATGCCTTTCTCTGTATCTGTGACATTAGAACAACCGCCTACTACACATATATTCGGCAATTTTTCAGTTTCGTGACTTTTATTTGCGCTATTGCCTCCTCTATGATAGTGCATGCAATAGTATTCAGTTTCTACATTAGTGAGATTTTTCACAAGGCCAAATTCAATGTTTAAACGGCAATAACTTTTACACTAAAAAGCAATTTCGATTCTGTTTTCCAATTTCCGTATATTTTGTATCATAGATTTCGAAAATATAAACTCTCATTTTGTGACAGGGACACTTTAAAAAACTTCTTAATTTAATCCTATTCAATAGGATGAAAAGAAGAAGTAAACCAGACAAATTAACAATGACATTGTTTGCTCCAATGTCAAATGTCTCTGCTATTTTTATTCACATGCTAACGCAGAAGAACTGTAAAATTGTTCGATTTACCGCCTGTTTTTTTTTCTTCATATATAAAACATAATATGAACACCACCACCAACAACAATATCACGGCAATAGACCACTGAGCTGTATAATAACTGGAGGACCTGCTCCTATACTTCGTTCAGTCAACGAAGTGAAGCCAAAAACATGGCGGATTTTGAGTGAAAATGACGCCATTTCCATGACAACACTTACTTTATTTTCATGGTAGGTACCACTGACCAGGCTCAATTCTGAGCCCACGGCCGTTTTCACTCCCCCCCCCTGGTTTTTGCAAAAAAGTTTTTCAGATATTGCTACTAACTCTTGACGAAGGGCCTTCGCTCGAAACGTCGAGTTTCTGCTTATTTTTTAAGGTAGTAATATAACCACTCAGCACAGCATTTTCACATTGGTACTACCCACACTGGTACAGACAGTTTTAGTATATAATTCAGATATTATAGTTCTCGTGAGTTTTGAATCGGTTTTTAAAATTTTTTCGATATAAATTTTCTACCTTTGACCATTTGGACAAAGATATGCAAGTCGTACGTGTTATTCTCGCCCGTGAAAGACGACAAGTAAATTTTAAAACCTCAAGAAGGTCCAAGAAATGTGGGAAAAGACGAGACTTGAATATGGATTTTATACAAAGGGTAAGAGACAAATTTTCATATTTCAATTTTTTAATATTTAGACTTTACCTTATTTGACATGAAATTGATAAGCATAACGATGAAACTGACACTCTATTTGTTAATAAAATAACTTCCTATATGCAATACACATGGTAAAGTGTAAAATTTCCCACTATTTTAGCAAGCTGTGATTCACAATCGCAAAATATTTGGTTACAAACTAGGAAGCTTTGATCGATATTCAGTCACATATACGAACGACGGTCTTTAAAGTGCGAACTGGAACTGTGTAGTGTTAATAATGTAATAATGTTTAAAAGGTTGACTCCTGAGGTCTCGTTTTATAAACAGACACAAACTATGATCATGTGCCAGTCAGACTATCTTTCATACTGAAAGAGGGAATTAGCTTAAGTTTTGTAATATGTACCACTTAGCTGAGGGTGCTGGAAACTGATCTGGGAAGGTAGTTTCTACCTAGCTTTCTGCATGGTTGGGGCCGATACTTCTTGATTTTTGTGTCAATAATAGTAATATAGAGGCTTGAGATAAATCACACTTTTCCCTAAGCTGAGGTAACAAGGTTTAGCTGAGGTGTGTGCCAAGGCATACATGTGTGATCACACCTCATTTCCAGGATGGCCTGTTTTCTTACAAGTTTTCTCAGTAAATATCACTCTGAATGAGCAATGTACCTTTATAAGTGCACTCATAGTTCTGATACCCCTGGTTTAAGCTGAGGAGTTAGGTCACATTCTTTTGTTTACCTTGATCATATGCTAATTATGTTACTGGTGCATTTTTGTACAACCACAGTTAATACAACCTACATAGTTAATCTACTCTTGTTTATTGCAGATTTATTCCACAATGACACACTCCTTTCTGGGTGGCAAGTTACAGTACCAAGCCAAACATATCTTTGGAAACTGAACATACTGTATTTTAATACATGCTTCCAGAAATTATGTCACCTTGGCTATAGAGATTCATTTTCACGATTGAGACATTGGACTAACTCATGCCACATACATGAAAATGAGGCTCCATAGCCAAGGTGAAATACATTCCGGAAGGGTGTATTTGACTTTTTTGTAAAATTATTAGCAGTAACAAAAATGTATAATTTTAATTGCTATAAAACTTATTTACACTTCAATAAAGTTATCATAATCATATAATTATTTATGTTGTTATGCATGGTATTATAATTAACTAATTCATTTTGTTGTTCTGCATGTTTTTCTGCATGTTGATGCCTCAGTGCCATCTCTTGTGTATATTAAACATATAATTTCTGCAAAATAAAAGATGACATTATTATCATGATACATTATACATCTTTACATCACAAAAATATCATATACACATATGTTAACCCTTCACAAGTGGCAATGTGTCTTGATATACCTTACTTTATTATTTTAATCTACCTAACGCCAGACAATTTTACTAGTCAAGGGGAGAGTGCAGTTACATGATCTGTTTTTACCAAGACCATTGATCTGAGCTTCAAAATTAAGTGTCATGTTTCAATATTCAGCAATGCAATTACATTCCTAACTGCTAAAATATGTCAAACTTAACTATTATGAGCAAATTTCATCATAATTTCTCACAGGCCGTGTCATGGCCAATTGGACATCACTACTCCCAATGTTAGAAATCATGGGCGGATTTACTTGGGGGGGGGGGGGTTAAACCCCTCTAATAAAGTGTTCAACTCCACCAAAA